GGGAGTTCTGCGTCTCACGTTGGCAAGGGACGCGCCAAAAGCGGCTGCCACCCTCAAAAGCCGAGGCGCGCATGGCGGCAGCGGCTTCCCGAAGTCTGGCCAACTGGCCCTGAGATGATATGGGTCCAACCAGCTGGGCTCCCCAGATTTCGCCTAACACCACCCAAGGGATGCCCACCTTTCATGAGCATCAAGAAGGGAAATAAAAGGAGACCCCTGAGCCATCAGGACGAAATAGTTAGACTGGGGTTTGGGCGGGTTTGGGTGCTGCAAAACCTGGAGCCCAACAAAGGGTCACCCAAAGGGAAACATACTAGCTGCGGTAGAAGTTCCATGACAATTAAACCCGATCAACGTTGGCGGCAACCAAAACCTAACGCCCCCACACATCCTCGGCAAACAAGGCGGAACCAAATGAAACCCTATTGGTACTGCACCATAACCGGAGGTTCTGCACTGAAGGGTGCCTGCAGAACCAGGGATAAACTTGTTTGAAGTGATCCAGATCCTCTCAAACCTTGGCTGCACCCTTTCAACAATCAACCAAACGCGCTATTCTTGGCTGACGTTGGAAGGGGAGCAAAAATTAAATGTTAGCAGTTAAGTGGGGATTCCCCACTAAACCACAATAAGCAAAAATGCAAAATGTTTCCCAACATGCCTGCGAATTGACCAGCGCCCCACTTCCAATGCCTTCGGGTTCTATGGCAAAAACGATGCACAGTAGACTCCCACTAAAAGTACACAGACCTATTCTCTCAAAGGGAAGTAGTTCTCCAAAGTGGGTCCGCCTGAATACATCCCCGACCAGCAGAAGCTCCTTTTTAGCAGACCTCTCCAAGAGGTACTGATGTAATGTTGACCCCATATTAATCAACCCCAGTTTACGAATAAGGGGTGTCCCTGGGTTTAGTGGGGAATCGTCACTTTTGCCGGGGAACACCCCCTACTGATAAACTGGGATTGAGTAATATGGGGTCAACATTGCACCACCCTTCGTTAGCAAATATTGGATGCCCGACAGGTAGGCTTCATCCGCGGAAACACTGCCACTCGTCAGACCGCTGCCTTGGCCTTGCTCTGACTGAGATGAGAAAGAAGGGCTCCCCCACTGAGGGCCCCAAAAAGATGCCATGTTCGTCCGACTGTGGAACATCATGTGGATGGACAACAAATCCTGCACCACCTAAGGAGCCCTGGAATGATGTGATTTCCCTGTAAATACCAACAAACAATTGTTCCAACCATGGTTTCATTTCGTGGTGCGCAAACGGACTCCGCCCATCCACAGTATCAAACTGCAAAAGCACTTTGGGGCATCGGACCGACATCACCAACCTTCAAAATGGGAAAACAAAAACATGTTGCTGGCCCCACGTCTTTTTCCTGTATACGTCACCGAAGTGACAGGCTCAAAGGGAAACTCCCCCAGTTGAGTCATAATCAAAACCCGGTCCAAAAATGGTTGAATCAGAGCCATGCAAAGAACTGAAAAGGCGGCACCCATTTATGCTGGGATTCTCCCTTAGCACCCTCCAAGTACTTCTGCTGTGACTCAATTGACTTAGATACCGCGCCAAGACCTACAAGCTGACCCCTTTTCATCGAAAGCCCCGCCCGCCTCGGCTATTGTGCGAACCTCATCCAAGGGGCCTGCGGACCAGGACGGCGAGCCACAAGCACGTCTGCGGTGTTGACCCCAATCAACCAAACAGCTTATTGATATGGGGGTGGGGAGAAAACCCCTCCAAAAGTGGTCTGAATCCCCACCAAAACCAAAACAAAAACCCAAATTCATAAATTTTACAGGGTTTTGTTACTATGGGGGCAACAAGAGGCCATTTATTCCCCTCTGCACCCAAAGGGCCCTATGGGTAGTTGTAGGCTTTTCGGAGGCTTGGATGGTAGGGAGCTCGAAAGGAAATTGAAACGTAGGGGTGGAGATGGCAATGGTGAGGCGTACTGTGGGCAAGATCTAGATACAAGATACAAGAAAAACACATTTTGGTAGAAACATTCTAAACACAACAGAAACACAATAGGACTCTGCAAGGTTTATGCTGGGACTCAAAAAGAAACAGGACAACGACACCCATGCACTTTCCAATTAAATCAGTCCAAAACTCCATGTGTTCTTTAGGTAGAGCTCAGTGGATCCAACCATCAATCGGAAACATGTTTTATTTTATCATGTTTGTTTCTTTCTTGCTTGTTGTTCTTTTTAACACTCCCCCCCCCAAAGAAAACAACTCAGGTAAAATCCCCAACAGCACGCGGTGCTCTTTTCAGTGCTCGCACCACCCCGCAGCCCTCGTAGAACCTCGTGGAACCCTGGTGGAACCCTCGTGGAACCTTGCCTCAGGGCCACCCCGGACTACCCCGGAGCCTATCTGGGCTGAGACCCCAAAGCTTTCAGCTGTTGCGGAAAAAAAGAACACGCGCATGCGTTGCTTCCTTCTCCGCGCCTTGCTCGGCCTCGAGCAGGCTCCAAAAGATCTGGGCGTTGGAGGGGGAGATGTTCAGGAGCTCCTCACGTTGCGTTCGAGGGGAACTCCGTGGACGTGGGCGGCTCCTCTTGTCGTTTGGTGGTTGGTACCGCGTCTTTTGTGCTAGTCTAAAGGGAAACCAATCGGAAAACCACCATTATGGGAAGAAACACCTACAGAACACACAGCCATATATACATGCTTGCCAAAGTAAAAACCTGTAACCGGCTGTTTCATAGGGTTTCTACATGTAAGGAGTGATTGTTAGGTGTCTTCTTCCTATGTGACCCTATGTGCGTTGGGACCATCTCCCATAAGTATTGTGGACAACACCCTGCAGCAGCATGTTGTCCCTCAGTATGGGTCTTGGCCCAAATCAAGACTACATGAACAAACACACAAAAAAGGCTTCATATTCAGAAGGTAAGGTTGACTCAATCTTAAATCCCATAATGCAACTCTACCACTTTGGAGGCCCTTGAGAAACAACAGAAAAAAACGACTCCTGGAGCTCCGCGAAGCACATGTGCAGCTCACCTCGGATAAGTTTTTGGCCGAAGAAACGAGGTGCGAAGCTCGTTGTTTTTTGCTATGTGTATATATATATATATATATTTATATCTATGTTTAAGTTTTTCTTGTTTCCGGGTCCTTGTAAAGGATACATGCACAAACCACCTGCCTTACAAGAATTCGGATCCTCCAATTCAGCTCGAAAAAGTGTTGTTTCAGCTTGCCCGATTCTTAAAAACAATGGGCCAGGCTTTTCCACGGCACGTTTCTTCAGAACACGTGTTGCCCCTTTGTTTCTTCTCTGGTTGAGCTCCCTGCATTCAGCCCCTGAGAAGAGTTTTGCTGAATGAAGACGCCAGGAGGTCTAGTTAAAAGCGGCGTGCAGAGAGGCCTGGCGTCCTTTGAGAAGTTGAGATTCACACCCTTTTGGGATCTGTTGGGCCTTTTTGGTGTTGTTGTTTCTGGCAGAAAGACAAGCAAATGGGCTACGGAATCGCAAACAAGTGAGCGTTCTAGGTTGCCGCTGCCTCGCCGCGTCAATAACCCCGACATGTTCTGCGAAAGCTGTCCCAAAGCTCCGCGGAAGCTCTGCGGGGACTAATCTTCAACAAAATGGAACAGGCTGAGCCAACGCCCGGCTCACAAGCCAAAAGTCGCGGATCAGAATAGAAGTGAAGCAAAACAAACTGCAGCTTCGGAGCCGCCGCAGGTTTCTGTCTTTGCTTCCTTTTTTCCAAGGTGCCATTGTTGGGATTCCTTTTTTTGAGCCACGCCCATGTGCTTCTTGTCTCGCGGAAGAGCTTAGCGGCCCCGCGAAAGCCCTCCCGGGCTCACGCGGAAGCGCTCATGCGCGGAGGGCACGAGAGGTGAACTGGGGAATCTGCAATGACAGTCGGTCCTGCTTGGGAAATGGCATTTCACACAAACCAACAAAAAGCCAGTTCTTTCAGGGGGTCACTTTGACCAGTTCAGGCTGGGCTGGGTCTTGGATCTGGTGCCCTGTCATTTGTTGAGGCTCAGAACTCTTTTTGGGGTTGTATTGCAGGAAACAAAAGGACACGTCAAAGGGACAGTAAAGCCGCTGCTTTTGGCAGGTGATTTGCAGGTGACAAAACCAGTTTCAATCAAACCAAACTGCTGCTCAAGCGGCCCCTGATTTTGGGGGGACTCAGCTCCCGCCATTGGTCGATTCTCGCGCGAGTCAGTTTTGGCATACCCGAGGCCGCTCGACGGCTTCAGCAAGCGAGCGAGCCCTTTGGAGCCACTGTTGCTTCTTTCAGGCACCCTGGAAATCACCCGAAGACCCTTGCCCCAACCGTTGAGCCCTTGTTGCCCTTATTTGACTCTATTTGGATTCGTTTGGGCGTACTGATGCTTATTTGGCCTTAGAAAAGGGCCTTAGTAGGCTCTGCTTGGCCTTATTTCCCTTTTCAAATCAGCGAGCCCCAAACGTTGCGACCGTGTACAGCTGGTGACCGAGCAGTCGAGCGAGAAATCTGCAAGCGAGGGGCGGTTCAGGCACTGCTTAAAGCCCGCGTCGCTCTTGCGCTTGGCATGCCTGGCCGGTTGCCGTGACGCCTTCTCAAACTTCCATTGGTCTGCTGAACACCACCTTCCAAACTGAGCCTTCCGCGGCTAGAAAACTCATTCCAGATCGGCCAAAAAAAGTCGAAACTTGAGCTTGCCACAGATTTCTGGTTCGCGGGGAGCGAGAACAGGGACCATTTCTAATGACTGAGGCTGGCGCCTTTGATGGGCTTCAGCCCAAGAGTACCGGAAAAGCCAGTTCTGAGTTAATTTCGTTTGATGACAGTTCATTTGATGCAGCAAGGTTTGAGCCAGTTCATGAAAAAGAAGTGTACCTAGAAAAGCCCGGCGCTTTGTTTGCTTCTGCCAGTTCAGGGCGGATTGGATCGGTCCCGGAACTTGGGGTGGTACTGGCTTGGTTTAGGTTCAGCTTGGTCTCAGCGGCCGAACTTTCGCAGTTGTCTTGAGGTTGTTTCAGGGCACGGCACCGGCTGTTGAGACCAGCAAGGGCCTGGACTTCAGATTTCTATGTTGCCTGTGTTCCAAGCAAGCTCATCTTGGTTCTCCTTGGGCCGACATCTCAGTTGTTCAGTGACCCTGGAAACAAAGGGAACCCTTTTTGGGGAAGACCATTTTTAGAGGGGCAGCCACTCAAAAAAAGAGACAATTAGTGCCACTGAACAACTGAGACATGGCTCCGGATGTCTAAACCCCACCCGCCTCTTCTGCGGGGGCGTGCGTTCGCTCAGCGTGCGCTCGTTGCTGTTGCTCATGGACTGCTGGCGGTCCTCCACGCCCGCCACCACCTTGAACAGCACATCTACATATATATATATATATACATATACATATGTATACATGTATATATATATATATGTATACATATATGTATATATATATATGTGTATAGAGGGGTATATAAATATATGTATATATAAGCACATGTATATGGGTATAAATATATACATATGTATGTGGAATCCCCAAAAAATACGGAGAGCGGGTGTTGGTGAGGATGTGATGTGATGTGATGTGATGTGATGTGATGTGATGTGATGTGATGTGATGTGATGTGTGTGTGTGTGTGTGTATTTTTTCTTGCGGGTTCCCTTGAAGCCCACCCCCCAAAAAGGGTACCCTGAAAAATATACTTGTCTGACACATGAAGTCGGTCTTCAAAGAGGGACTGCGCAAATTGTGGTTGTCTTGTTGGTTCCCTTTTCACCAACCGTTCTCGCAAAAACACAACAACATTCAAAGGAACTTGTCTCCGATGAAACAAAGTGTTGAACTTGTTCACCACTGAATTCGTCCTCCAAAGTCAAGTCTCAACTTAGTCGCCCAAAAAGGAATTGGAGCCCGTGTTTGTTTCATATGACAGGCTGCCCGGACAAATGGTTACACAGTCTCATGGTGCAACGGAAGGATCCATACACTTTTGGAATCATTGAAATGTGTTGAACACACCAGTTGCAAACGTTTCCCATTGAAGCAAACAGAACATGGAGTTATGTTGGTTTCCTTTCTTGAACCCTCTAGTTAGATTGAACAATTAAACAGATGCATTTGCAAAGGCTTCCCTTTCAAAGCATTCCAGTCATGCATTGCCAAACAACATTCAGCGCATCGCGGATGTCGCTCGCACGCTTCCCGCACGTCCGCCCGGGTTGCGTCCGGGGTGCTATCCTCAGCTTGCCGTCCTCCAGGGTGGTGCTGGATCCCACCGACCCCTTCCAAGGGCACAATGGTTGTGGGAAATGACCCTCTCTTCTGACAAGAGTTGCGACTGAAATGGTGAGCCCAAGCATACAGACCCAGAACTCAGGGAATGAGGACCCGCGCTGCGATACCAGAGGCGGCCAAGAGCAAGCAACTCTTTTTGGCCAAAATCAACCCAACCAACCTCGTGCGGCACCTTTGTTGCCTCTTTATTGGCCTTTGCTTGGGCCAGCATCACACCAGCATCCGGTGTTTGTACCACGTTTGCCTTTTCATTGGCTGCTTCTGGGGCCAACCTCAGGCCAACCGACCTTTCTTGGCCCCTCTTGTGGCCTCCATCCTCCTTTTTGGCCTTTGTTTGCGGCTGGCTTCAACCCAACAACTCATGCATGGCTTTCTTTTCCTGGGGCCTTTGTTTGGCCATTGTGTTGAGCCTTTGTTTAGCCCAACCTCAGCCGATCTGCATCTTTTGCAGTTGTTGAAATAAGAAGCGGATTCCAGAGTAAAGGACGATTACCATCATGGTGACCCTCCTAGGGTTACTACCCCTTCGGTGGAATCGCTGGCAATCAAACTTGCAGAAAAACTCCCTTGCCCAGTGACGGACCCATTGTGAAACCATGTTCACACATACTGGGGTCATGACTTTCACTGTGTCTGGGGGAAAAAATCAGAAACTGCGGTTTCCCTTTTGCCTACCACGGGGTGACTTTGACGGTGAAATCATGCCTTACATACCCAACTGGTTGAGAATCGGGTCCCCGCCCCAAAAAAGACGCAAAAACAAGGTGGTTTACTTTGGGTTTTCCTTTACAAAGGGGTCCCCCCAATTATCACACATACCCAAACACTTGTTCCCTCCCTGCCGTTTTCACATCCACCTCGAATTTTCACAGCATAACGCCCCCACATGTAAAAAAGTATTGAAATCCTTACATCCCGCAGTTCCTTCCCTTCCCATTTTCACACCCCACCCCACCCGTCCCCCTTTTCACACCTAGGTCCTCCAGTAGAGAGGTTAAAATAAGGGTGCCCCTTTTTTTCTGTAGAGTCTACTTTAGTAGGGGAACCCTCGCCCAAAAAAGGGGAGAGAAGGGCACTACTGGGTGACCTAATCACATACCCCCCAGTTGTTCAGTGACCCTGGGAAAAAGGGAACCCTTTTTTGGGGAAGACCATTTATTTGTGGGGCAGCCACCAAACAAAAAGGGAAAAATCATTGGTGCCGCTGAACAGCTGAGATACCCACGTGGTTGTCCCTCCCATCGGTCAAACCCACAAACCCACACATACCCAAATACTTGTTCCCCCCTTGCCATTTTCACACCCCCCAACCTTCCCCCCCCCCCCCGCTTTCACACATACCCTAGTATCTGAAGCCCCGACGTTTTCCGAACAGCACCTCCCACCAACTAACCTGAAAAGGTCCTGGACCATTTCCTTTTTAAAGGGACCGGGTCCCCTTTTCAGGTACCCAAGTGGTCCCATTTCGGTCCTCCAAGTTGGGTGTCTGCGCGAACCACTCCGCCTCCGCCTCGCAGTTCTCCCGCGAGGCGGTGGCCACCGCTTTCTCCGGGAGCCCCACCTGACAGCGGGCGGTCGGGCGCATTTGCTGCGAGCGAGCGAGCGAGCCGCGGTCCAAGGAAGCCTCTGGGGGTTTGGGGGGCTTGGGGGGTTTGAGCGGTTTTGGTGAATTTTGGTGGGTTCAATATCCAAAATGGTTAAAATCCAAATTAAGGTCCAAATAGCCATGAAGAAAACAGAAGGGTTTCTGCAGTTCGCTTTCTTGGCTGTTATACCATTTTCGTCAGTAAAATTGGAAACCAACAGATGACGGATGAGAAGATACCTTGACACACATATGCCTTATATTGCAGGCTTATGTACTCCTATATACTCCTCATGCACCCCTAGTCCCCTGGGGTCTGGGGAAACCTTTGAGACTTTGTGCGCCAGGTGAAGAAACGCTGCTGGATTTGAACTTCTCGGGATCCCGCTACCCAAACTCATTGGCGCTTTGAGAATGAGAATGAACCGCTGCCGCTGGAGAAAAACCGAAACAACACCTTTCAAAAGGAGTTCAAGACGGGTGTATCTCAAAATAGGGGGTCTCTTTAGGGATGGCGTTAAAGGGAACACAAAAGGAAACCAAGCACCTGGAGGGTGCTCAATTTGAGAAACACAAACCGACAGTCCCATGCCTTCTGAGCATTATCCCAAACAAATCTATGCGTTTTGCGCGGCAACTCTGCCTTCCAAAGGCACTCGTCGTGGTCATACACGATCCACTGGTCTGGGTGCATCAGATTCTTCCAGCGCTGCCTCACCATCGCCGCGCTCTCCCCAGGTAAAAGCCATGAAAAGAGAAACAAGGGTGTGTGTGTGTGTCGTTGTTTAGGGACCCAACCCCAAAAAACAGCCACAAAAAGGGTACCCTTTGAAAACAGGACAACAAGCTGCTGAGGCTGCCAGCAGATTCGATCTGGAGCCCCCGACTCATGGTGACCCCCAGATCTCTCCAATTTGGCAAATGAGCGGTTGGTGTTTCCCAACAAAGTGGAGAAGGATTCGATGCCCTCCAAAACCCAAAGTAGGACACCCCCGAGGACGCGGCTTCGTGTTATCGCCTTTTGCATCGAGGCACCGGATGCTGTTGGAGTCGTCCCGTCGCACGTAGACCCCATCCAGCTGCTGGTTGGCACCCTTGACAGACACCGACACCTCAGGTTGGGGCGGGTCGCAGTTGACATATCCCCGTTCTGACCTGAGTTGACTGGGTAGAAAAAGTTCTACCTTCTTGGCACTAGACTAAAATGACGAAGGGACCTAGCAGCAAAAGACCATGGAGGCTGAACAGGTGAGCTCTCTCTTTGGGGGCTTAGACACCCCTTCGATAGTCAAACCATGCGCTCAAGCTGTCACACATTCCCCAAAAAAACCTAGTTCAGATGGCTCGGGTGGCTAAGAAGAGAATGAAACCTGTTTCACACCTGACGAATTTACAGAGCGCTCACCTGTAAATCCTTGTCTTGGAACTCATTTGAGAGTCTGGTCCACATCTACTCTACCCAAGCATATCCTATTCTGCCAGCTATGGAAAGCAACCCAACGCACACACACACACACACATCCATGCTATGCTGTTTGTGTCCAACCAAATTCACCTTTAAAGGACACCTGTCTATCACCCTTTACCCCCTTTGGTGTGATCAAACTGTTTGCTTCTCCCGCCTGAGTTCCATCACATGGGCTTTCCTTTCGACACTGGTTAACAGTCAAGGGACCTGCCGGACGCGATGGTAAAAACGTTTTGACACATGCTGACCTGACTCGGTTGTTTTTTCTGTGTGTGATTTTTTACGCCCCCCCCCCCCCCGTTTTCTTCCCAGAAAGGGCATCGGTTCACAAGCATACCCCGTCCCTTAATCGGTAGACTTGATTTTTTTGGGGATTTGAACTGCTGAACACCACAAACTCTGCCCAACAAACCTGGAAACAACAGAGCTTCTAGGCACCTAGACCAACAAAGGTTGCCACACAGGAAACCCAAAAGCTTTGTCGTGCACCTTCGTTTTGCCTTGGACCACTGAAGTTGGACAAACTCAAAGACACACTCAAGGTAGCGACCTTCATGAGTCGAGCTTTGGACGGCCGAGGTGCGTCCCGGGCAAGGATGTAGTCACCCCGAATCCTTGGGTTGACAGGGGGGGCCGTGGCATAAACTGAGGCGCTTCAATTGTTTTTACTTCGGTTGCCTCTTTTAAGGGAGCGCTGTTCAAACCAGCCATGTGCTTTCATTCAGTGGACTTCCTTTACATCCCTTGTGTGTTTTGGGGTATCCTCCGTGTTCGCAGGCAGCACCGCAGCTGCAAACGTAGCACGGCATCATCCACAACCAGTTCCAACCGTAGCAGGGGCTCCAGAATAAACACGCAGGCAGCTACGAGCGTAGCAAGATTTCTGCAATAAGATCCAAGCGTAGCAGGGGCCCCAGAATAAGCAAGCAAGCAGCTGCAAACCTAGCAAGGTTTCCACAGTAAGATCCAAACCTAGCAGGGTCTAGAGTCAGGCATGCGCACGTCAGAAACAGCGGAGTTGCTGCGCCCATGCAACAAGCACGTGTGATGAAAAAGCTTCTGAGTAAACTCATCCGTCAAAGTTTCTCGTCGTTTGTGCCCTACACTAATATAGTTTTTTGCAATGGCCGCTGACTTGGATGTCTGGGAGTTGCGCGCTCCACCCTGCGACTGACAAGACACCACCCGTGTGGTTTGTTGGCCTTAAGCTGGGGGGGGCACCGCCATCTGACCCTGGCGCTCGCAAATCAAGGCCGGCCTGCCTGCAGCGCCTGGGGCGACGTGCTGCCACACGTGCCACACGCGCAAAAGCAAGGCGCGCTCGTTTTGCCATACTCCAAAACTAAAGAGCTGCCCCTGACTCACTATGCTGCCTGCTCAGACACTGAAGAAGTCCACGGTTAGCAGCTGACTCCGGCACTTGCGCTACCGAAGTCAGCATGCTCGGTCAAAGCTGGAGCAGACCATGGTGCATTCAAATGGACGAAGCGCGTGTTGGCATGTTTCGTCACAGCAGCACCAGTCAAACACTCAGTGCCTCTTTGAGCAACGCATGCAAAGTTTGCGGCAGCCATGTTGACTGGGGAAGCTTCTTTCAGGTTGAAGTGGGTCTGTTGGCGCAAGCCCGCGCCGGACTCAAGCCGTCAGAATTGCTGAATTTGAAGGAGTCGCATGTTTTGTTGCCAAAGCCGGGGTGGCTCATTTTGTTTTCAGAGTGGGAGCCGCAAGGTCGACCAAAGTACGCAGGGAGCAGGTTACCTTTCTGGGCTGGGATCGAGATTGGCCGGTGTCGCAGCTACTGTTGCGGCTGCTGAGGGCAACAGGACTCGACCAGTTGATGTCCCCCTACACTTACGAGCAGTATCGTGTGTGTCTGGCCCAAGTGTGTGAGAGTGCGCGTTTTCACCCAGGGCAGGATTTGCTATGGATGCGGTTACAGATGGTTGGGACGTAGCAACGGTTCGTCACATTGGACGTTGGGCGTAGAACGCAGCTTTACCTGCTGTTGATTCTGCGTCCCAAGTTCAGGTCGGGTTTGCATCGCGTGGTCTCAAAGACATGGTCATCCAGTGTGACAATTGCATCAGGCCGCTTTTTCCTCTTGGATGTTTTGCGCTTGAGGGAGATGGGACTCCCACAGCACGTCGCGGTTCCAGACGAAGACTCACCGTCCTACTTGCCCAGGAGGTGAGTGGGCCGGCAACAATACGAGAAACAGTCAGGAGACCGGCGCCTCGATCTTCAACCCCCGCCAAAACTCAAGATTGCACCGCCGCTCGAAAGCCGGATAGACGGTCGCGCGTTTCGATTTTCACACGCTGGTGCTTACGAAGGCAGGGACACAGCAAGTCGCAGCAGGCCTCGGAGCGCCAGAACAAAAAGCGGCAACGGCTGGTTGAAAGCTGCGAACTGTCGGGCGACTCTTCGCCTTGCTGCTCTCCGCCCTGAGCAGGGCCTGGTACTCCGACGCCGTCAGCTCATCCATCTTGTTCTTCAGCATGTTTCCTTCCTTCGTCGGGTATAGGCGCGCGCCCGAGGTGATGAGGTGCTTCAAGTACGACACCTCGGATGGCGGACTTGCTCTGTGCGTTGGCCGTGTCTTCTCAGTGTCAGCAGAGGGAGTATTCTTGGCTGCGACACAGGCTGCGGTCGCGTGAGTTCCATTACGGTCTCTCCTTCTCTTGCCTGACATGGCCTCACATGCGCCTGCACGCCTGCACGCCTGCCGCGCAGAGCAAGCTTGCCGGAGGCCAGCGAAGTCATCGAGTTTTGTCCTTCTGAAGTCCGAGGCCAGTCAGTCGACTTTGGTTGAGAGGTCTTGTTTTTCAACACTTTTACTGGTGGGTGCCTTCTTTCTGCACCTGCCTATGTTTCGAATTCGCTTGGGCTTGCCCATTCCAGGTTGCCATGTCGGGAACGAAGCGTCAGAATGGCTACTGAGAAGGCCAGCACACCCATGGCAG